AGTTTGATCGATCGCGCGAATCGACTTGCCGACCGCGCGGAGTCGGCGCACCGAGATCTCGACCGCTCGCGAGATTTTGAAATGGAGAGGAAGAATTTCGGGATCTCGACGCGCGAAGGGACGGCAAGAACGGGTGAAAAAATTAACACTGGAAGTACCTAGCGGTCTCCTTCTGACGATTTCTATTTTTCAGATCAATACCCCGTTTCTTGTACGTACAAGACATGGAATGCTAAACTTTTTGACGAGTTTTTATTAGGGCTTGCTATTATACGTTTAAACGGAAACACGTTTATACGTATAATTAGCTATCCGTTTATTAGAAACGTTTTTCTGAATACACGTGTTTTTACTTAACAAACGTTTAAACGTTTACTAGGCTGTAATATACGTGTAAACGTTTAAATGTTTGTTAAACGTTTAGTAAACGTTTAAACGTTTTTCTGGAAGAAAATGTAAACGGATAAACGTTTATTCGAAAAACGGAATAAAATCCGAGCCCTAGTTTTTATCGATCAAATGACTGAAAATGTTATAAAATTTCAGAATTCTACTTTTTACACAACGGACAGGGTTGGGAAGTAACTTGTAACGAAGTTACTTTATATATTTTTTTTTTAAACCTCCACAAAGTGCATCAGGCCTTGCACTTGCGCATAAACGCCTTTATTAAAAACGCTTTACAATTCAAATGCAGATTTTTATTTTCCTCGCGAGAAAGTAGCAGTTTGTTACTTTTTGAGTAACTGTTAAGCCCGTATCAGACTACGGATTGGGATTAGATTGAAATTTGACCAATCAGAGTAAAAGTTATTGAACTTAAGATTAGTAAACTTTACTGTGATTGGTTAAATTTCAATCTAATCCCAATCCCAATCCGTAGTCTGATACGGGCTTAACGCGTTACTTTTCAGAATTGGTGACTTGTAACTGTAACTAGTTACATTTTTAGTTAGAAAACTGTAACTAGTACACTTTTGTAAAGTAACTTTTCCAACCCCGACAACAGAGTATTAAAAAAGAAACAGAAATGACTGTCCCGATACTCGGTAGTGTTAAGAGCGATACACACGTTTATACATACAACTTTCGTAGACACAATGCTTTCGCATGTCTAAGAAACAATAAGCTTTTATTTTAAACAGGAAATCACTCGTTATCTCATTGTAATTCATTATAAATATTAGCATGTACAAAAGATGACGAGAGACAAGGCTACAGGGACGCGCCACGGCGCCTGCGTTCGTAAGATGTGCTTCCGTTTCGTTATACAATTCTCTTGTGTTAGTTTTGAGGAAATTAAGCGAACGCAGACAGATTACATCGGTCTGCCCATGCCGCGTCCCATCGGCGGCTGCGGGCCGTCCTGGCTGCTCTTGGGGTTCCTGATTGTCTCGTCGACGGACAGGATGAGGCAGGCGGCCTCCGTGGCAGCGGTCAACGCGTTGATCTTCACTATCGCCGGCTCCCAGACACAGCACCGCATGTTGTCCGCGATGTCCTCTGAATTGATGTCGACGCCGTACCACTGCATGCCTTTGTGATGCTTCTGGCGCAATTTGTTCAAGATATTCGTCGCGTCGAAGCCGGCGTTATCGCACAGTTGCCTGTAACCGATATTTATCGTCATTACTACACTTCGATTATATTAAATGTTCACATAAAATGCTGGATAATTTGAAGCAGGCTTCGCCCAAGTGAAAGACCCAGATTCGTTTACCACCGCTCGACGTATCGGGATACAAAATTTAAAAAAAAAATGTATGCGGAAGAATATTTTTGATAGGTGGAATTAAAAACGTGCATTCTCGCAAATTGCGAACAAGTAAATAGTGCGTTTCCTGGAGAATGGAAATTCAAAGTGCACTTGTTGTGCACGAGAATATACCTCGGAATAATTTCGAGAGCTTTCGCTACCGCGCCTATCAAGAGCTGCTCCTTCCCGGCGATGGTGAGCGAGTAATCGCGCAGGGTCTTGGAAATTTCCATCTCAATGGCACCGCCGCCGGCGACCACCGCGTCGTTCTTCACCATGCGTCTCACGACCATAATCGCGTCGTGGAGGGACCTCTCCGTCTCTTCTAGAAACTGCTCCGCGCCTCCGCGCAGAATGAACGTGCACGTCTTCGCTCGCGAGCACTCGTAGAAGATGTTGAACCTGGGGACGCAAAAATGCAGCGTTACGAACCCGAATCGTTTTGCAGTCGACGCGGTTAAACGAATACGAAGGTCGCCGTTTTAATTACCTCTCGCCACCAATCTGCTTCTCCTCGAAGGTCTGGCACCTGCCGAGATCCGAGTCCTTGATGTCATGCACCGTCGTTAAAATTGCGCCACCGCACGCCTTCATCGTCCGCTTGAGATCCTCGTCGGGCACCCGGCCCGCGCAGAACATGTCCCTGTCCGCGAAATATTGCGTCGCGACGTCGCCGATCGGCAACGAGGACAGCACCACCTTCGCGCCGCTCTTGTGCATCTGGTCGAGCTTGTCGTAGAGAATCTGCCATTCCGCGTCGACGATCTTCTGATACTCCGCCACATTGTCCACGCGCACCTCCGCGTTGTCCCGCTCGGCCTTCAACTCCAGCTCGATGTTCAGCAACGCGATCTTGCACTGCTCGTACTTCTTCGGTTGCATCTCGAAGCCGGCGTACGAGAAGGTCTTTTTGAAGGCTACCCCCTGGATCAGCTCCGAGTCTTCCAGCGCGCCTCCGGAAATCTGAACGTCACGTCATTCGAATGTCAATTTACTCTGGCGCGTTGAAACCATAGACTTATACAGGATGAGGAAAGAGTATGGAAACCCCTTAATTTTTCACGAAAACTATGCATGTTAGAAACAAATGTTTGAGACAAAAGTTATATGGTTTCAAGGGGGACATAAGATGGTATTATTGGTTTGACCTTGGATAGTCGTTTAATCTTGAATTTTTTAAATGAAAACCTGCATTTTTTATTATATCATCTTTTTCCATTAGTTAACCGGAGCAACTTTTGTCTGAAACATTTTTGTCTATTTTTTTAGATATTCAAAGAAAACTTGGCAACTTTTTCAATAATTATACGATATCTCGATAACTGTTTATCGCGAGGAAAAATGATACAGGACTTTTTCACTTGATTGGTGTCAAGAATATGCTGTTGCAATAGTGCTCCAACTTGGTGAACACTTGTGTACCAGAGTTTTCGCGTATACACAAATGTTTGTGGACGCGCTATGTGAAGATTACACTGAAGGATAGAGATATTGCGCGATGCTTTCTCTCTCGCTCCTTGTTAAGAATGAGAAGACGACGCATATTGGACAAAGACACATTCACAGGCTATTGCTCTCCCGTTTCAACGCAGTTTTCAATTCTTCTCACGGGACGCGCGGTCTGTTTGTCCAAGTCTACGGTTGAAATCTTTTGTAAAAGTAAAACCAGCGTGACCGCGTACCTTTTTAATGCCGATCATGTTGAGAGGAAGTAGCTCGTCCAGCATCATGACAGCCTTGACGACCAGTTTACTGAAATGTTTCTTTTGTTGGTGTATCAACTTGGAGCTCATGGACGTGGCCGCGCACTCCTCCAGGAGCTCGATCTGCTTGCTCATGTCGCTCTTGTCGATCTTCACGCTCAGCTCGTTAATTTTATCCTTGGATATCTGAAGCGAGCGACGGAGGGCCTTGATGATGATGCGCGCATGCACGCCGTCCTCTATCTGCCCTTTCATCTGCTTCAAGAACTCGCCGGCCAACAACACCACGCTGGTCGTGCCGTCCCCAACCTGTCGAAACAACAACACGTTCAATTAGTCATTCACTGCCTCCGTATGGAATCTTTCATTGGCTATGGAGTATCTAAAAGATCATCTTATGAAGATTTTAAGTATCCGACTGCGAGTACTGCTCATTGTCCTCGTTGGAGCCTGTGTGGCGGCGAAAATCAGCCCAAACTCGTTTTTAGAGGACGATACATCGACGAGAGTAACGACACAGTCCTCACCTCTGCGTCCTGCGACTTTGCGATATCCACCAGAGTCTTTGCGGCGGGGTGAACGACATCCAACAGTTTCAGGATGGTAGCGCCGTCATTGGAGATGGTGCCCTTCCCGTTTTGATCGACTATCAGCTTGTCCATGCCGCGAGGACCCAGGGTGGTCCTGACGGCGTCCATGACAATCTGGCACGCATTTATATTGGATATCACGTGCTGCTTCCCCTGGAACGCGTCCGTGCCTTCCTTCAGCAGGATTATTTGAGGTTGCTGCAATCGATCGAGCGAGGAATTAGAAGACCAAGAGGTAAATTCGAGGCATTCAGCCCCAAGTACGCACGGGGATCGGTTACCCTCGCGTATTTTTCCATTCTGACACCGCGATACTTTTTTCCCCCTTTCAGGCAAATCGCGGAGGCGGGCGAGGCGGCGTTCGTTCAACGGCGAGGAAAACGAAGATCGGAGCCCGCGATCAAAAAAAAAAAGAAGAACGACGAATGCGACACGTCTACGCTATTCTGTGCGCGTTGACCTCCGACGTCGACTCGCGTCCTAAGGCCCGGTTTCACCAAGCGTCCCTTAACTTTAATCTTGGTTTAAGTCGAGGTTTGTTTCTCTCTCTCTCTCTAAAGTAACAGTTGGAAAGAGACAAAGAACGAGTTGAGCTAAGCTTAGAGTTAAACAACATTGGCGAAACCGGGCCTTAGACAGTCTAAAGGCCAGTTTTACAAACATTAGTCAACCGTCCCTTCCTAAGGGCCAGTGTCACAAACGTCGGTAAACCGCCAACCGAAGGTTAATAGATTCTCTGTCTCTTCTTTAAATGATAAGGTGGAAAAAGATAGGGAGTCGACTGAACCCTAAGACTCGTTTTCTATTGCTGCACTGGTGAACTAGCGCAGTAAGCTAGAATGAAAAAAAAATATATTTGTCTTACTCCAACTTATTGCACTGGTTCACCAGTGTAGCAACAGAAAACAAGCCTTTTGTTAGCAGTTAACCGACGTTTATGAAACTGGCCCTTGACGCGTTTGCGGCTCGTTCTCTGCCATCGCGGCCGGACGGAGGGTGCGGCGCGAAATGCGCTTCCTTATAAGGTTATAAGATCAGTTCGGAACGAAGCCGACGACCTGGCGGAGCGCGAGGGCCGCGAGAGCCGCGAGGCCCGGCTCCGCTCGTCACGGGGTGTTGTTTCCCGTCGAGGGGGACGTCGGACAGCGGCGAAGCGCGGGTCGAGGGCGAAAATGAGGCACGAGGCCACCACGCGAGTGCGTCGTCTCGACGACCGGCACCGCGAAGGCGAGACCGACGTGGGGTTACGTCGTAGGCCGCGATCAGGGATGTTTTCTCTCTCTCTCCCCGTTGAAGCTTACCATCTTGGAGTCCGCCCTCTCTCGCGATAATCCTGATGACGCGCGCGAATTGGCGAATTCGATGAAATTGGATTTGCCTCGCGATCGTCGACAGATGAACGCGATGAACGCGAGCGATGACGAGCACTCGAGCAGGAAGCACGCGTTCTCGAGAGGTTCGGGTTGAATCGCGACGGCACTGCCGCCACCGCCGGCGGACTCGTCCGGTTCTCATCTCGGCCAATCGGATGGCACCTGTCGCGTGGCCAGGAGGAAGAAACGGGCGCGCGAAGGGACAAAGCGGTTCGATCTTGCGCGCGACTGTCCTCATTTCTGTCATTCGGATTGATTTTAATCGGGGTTTAGCCTCGCTTTGCGTCTCTTTCGAATTCTCGACACTGGAAAAAGGCGAAATGTAAGCTAAACCGAGACTAAAGTTAATAATCTACGTTGGTAGAAATGGACATTGAAAAGAAACGTTAATTAAAGGCCCGAGCGCACGAAAAAACTGAAGCAGTAAAACTGCATGACCAATGATCGTCGAGAACGTAAGCAGCCATTTTGAAACTTAAGCAACGCTGAAAATTCCGATTGGTTGAATATCTTGTGTCTTAAGTTTCACTACTTAAATTTTTTCCTGTGTTCAGGCCTTAATCCACTTTGATGGAAATGGACATTAAAATCGTTTTATGCGGCGTCCACAATGAGATTTTTACGACGTAAGATTTGAAAAAATGACCTATCACAGTCAAGTGTGAGGAGAATAATCGACTGCGATTGGTCATTTCCTTAAGTCTTAAGTTCTACTGCTTAAATTTTCTTGTGTGTTTGGGCCTTTGCATTTCAGACTCGGTTTCACGAAACGTCGTGCTTGTCTCTTTCTAAAGTAACCGTTGAAAAGAGACAAAGAACGAATTGTGCCAAGCTTCAAGTTAAACGTCGGTGAAACCGGACCTTAAGGCCCAGTTTCACCGAACGTCGCTTAACTTTGATCTTGGTTTAATTCACGTTTGTCTCGTTCTAAAGTAACAGGTGAAAAGAGACAAAGAACGAATCAAGCTAAGCTTAAAGTTAAACAGCCGTCGGTGAAACCGGGCCTTAATCTCATTGTAGACGCCGCGTTAGAGATGACTTTACGATTTCATTCGAAACAAAATGACCGTACAGCCTCCGGTCACATTCAAGACTTACAGCGATCTGTTCGCACGCGCACAGTTCGATGGTGCTTTTTAAATATTTTTTAACTTTTATATCCGTGCAGATTTTCATTACCGCCACAATCGAAATAAACCGCGGAAGATCGGACCATGAATATTCCCCTTAAACATCGCGCGACGAGTGTCGCCTCTAGCGAAGTCTAGTCGCGACGGCACGTCGCCGCGATATGTTTTTAGAAAACGTTCGGTGTATCCTTGACGGACACTCGACCGCGTATCAATAATCCTCCCAAGGACGCCTCTATCGAGCGCTCGATCGCGCGCCGGGCGGCGGCATTGCGGGTCCAAGAGTCCGCGCGCTATCGTCGCGACATGCGACAGCGAGGGCGAGCCGCAGACACGGCAAGTGAAGGTATTTAAACCAACGATTATTCCTCCTCGTAGCCCGTCGCGGCAATTGTTTCTCGCGCTCGAGTAAACGCCCGTCGTCGATCGGCGCCGCTACTGGAGACGCTTTAGGAGGACGCGGACTCTCTAGCACGCGGCGGCACCGACGGCACGTTCTCACGTTTCAGTTACGTAAAACGCGGACCCGGAGCGCGAGTCCGCGCGTCCCCCCGGCGCGGACACACGCGCGACAGGGACCCCCGCGGGGTTTATTTTTAAGCGCGTCGCTATATTCGCGTGGATCCCGCGTCTCTTTATATGATATTGTGCAACGCGCTCTGTCATCGCGCGCGATTCCCGGGGAACGAGCGCGATCGGGGGGTCCCGCATCAGTCGTAGCCGCGCGCTCCCGCGTCGCGCCCGCACATTTCCGCGTCGAGCCCTACATCCCCGACGATCGATACGCGCGGGCGGGCTTACCGAGGGGCTGCACGGTGGGCTCCAGTCGCCAGTTCAACTTTTCCGCCGCGCCGCCGAACCGAACCGTCCCGGGGGACACGAAGGGGAGCGAGAGGAGATTTCGCGCCCGGAATCGGGCCCCGATTCCGCATTTGGTAAAGAGCCCGTCGTCGCCCGCCGCCGGCGCGGTTCCCGCGGGTAGCCGCTTTTGAAACGCGTCCCGCGCAGTTTAACCCCGTTCTCCGACCTCCGTTCCGTTTCAATTTGGGGGGCGAAGCCCGCGCGGAAGAGCACGGCCACACCCCCCCCCCCCGCCCGGCGTCCGCGACGCGAGTTCGCGTCCGCTTCGCTCGGCGACGCCGCGTGAATCGAGGCGCGAGGGCCGCCCGGACCCCTCGCGTCTCTCGATCTCGCACGCGGCCCCGCGGGACATTTGGAGGAGAAGGTTCAAGGTGACGGAGACGCCGGAAATGTCAGCGGGCTCCTTCCGAGGGCGCAGGCGCGTCTCGCGAAGGACAAGCGTGCGAGAGATCGATACGTTTGAAATCGCTCCGCTCGGTGTTAATTATTTTTTTAAGGGTGCCGAAAGGTCCTTCGGGTTTTCAATGCGACAATTTCAACGCCCCGTTTCAGCGCGGACAAGTAGAATACGCGGAACACGGCGGCGAAGGAAGAGAAATTTGCACGTAGAACGTAGAAAAATGTGAAGAGATTAATTTGTTGTTAGACAAAATTATCAGGCACCTCACAATCCTGGCTTTCACTAATGTCGTTTGACTTAGATTTTGGTTTAATTCCTCCTTCGTTTCTTTCTAAGGTTTCAGCAACGTTGCTTAACTTTAAGCTTTAGCTTAATTCTTTGCCTCTTTTCAGCTGTTGCTTTAAAAAGAGGCAAACGTGAATTAAACTAAGATTAAAGCTAAACGACGCTTGGTGACATCGGGCCTAAGAGAATAATAAAGAGACAAAGGATGCAGTAAAGATCGAAGTTAAACGACGCAGCGAAAACCGGTAAAAGTTGTACACTGTATAGAGGCAACGAGCGCTCTAGTGAACCACTTTTAAACAGAAACCCTCCTGGTATTAGACTTCAGTACAATACGACGATTGCGAGGGTGTCTAATAATTTTGCCTAAGGCTGTACACGTGTGTTCCTTTTGTATTCGAAAAATCCGCAGACTCTCGTTCGCCGTGAAAAGAGAAAAGGAACGCTTGAAAGTCTGCCGCAATTTCTCGAACTGAAATCTCCTCCGAGTCTCTTTCTCCCTCTGCGTTTTAACGACTTCAACGGCCGCTGTCTTTTCAGTCTAGCGTGCGCCGCGAGGAGAGGAAGGTCGCGCGTGCAGGATGAAGACGATCTGGGTGATCGGCGGGCCAGGATGCGGCAAGGGGACGCAGTGCGACCGGATGATCTCCAAGTACGGGTTCCTGCACTTGAGCAGCGGCGACCTGCTAAGGGCGGAAGTCGCCAGCGGCAGCGAGAGGGGCGCGTCGCTTCAGGATCTCATGTCCAAGGGGCTGTTCGTGCCAACGGTACATAACGTCACTTGGATTTCCATCAACTGGCTCCATTTCGCGTCTAATTGCCCCGCGCCTTGCATTAATTTCAATAAAGATATAGATATGTTAACGCGTTGAATGCGCCGCGTGGCCCCACGCTGAACTTTCCATTCAGGCCACTTGGCGTTTGTAGTTGTTTTGCGCCAAAACAAAACTTGATTGTGAAATCTTCAGAATATATACCTAATCAGCCGATGCATAATTCATGTATCACGTATAGCACAATTTATAATACCGCGCGCCATCGATGGCCGGAGCCGAGGGGTAAACCGTCGAGGGCATTGTGGTGTATAGATTTGTGGCATTGCTGAGCATTACTAGACATTACTAGGCATTTTCTGGGCATTAGGTCTTGCTGGGACATTACAAAGATAAAATAAGATCAAGTAATGTCCACTGAGAAACGGCCCGGCATTTAACGTGTTAAAAAAAATGTACAAGTATAGGATTTTGTCGCGAGGAAGCGAGATTGAGGGATGCACGGATAAAGTAAAACTAGAAAAAGTGGTCGCGCGTCTTACGCGAGCGAACCCGGTTTTTCTCAGTGTGAAGATGATGTGGTTTCGCTAGGACATTGTGCTGGCGCTCATAAAGGAGCAGATGGACAAGGCCCGCGAGGAAGGTACCACGAAGACCGGCTTTCTCATCGACGGCTACCCCCGTGAGAAGGATCAGGGTATTCTCTTTGAGGCAAACGTAAGGGGCTGTCACTTTTCTCCCTTTCGCCTGTCTACCTCTACCACTTTGAACCGTCTCGATGTGTCTCGCCGCAGGTTTGCCCCGTCGACCTAATTCTCTTCTTCGATGTAGCGAACGACACCCTGAAGAAGAGACTGCTCGGACGCGCCGCCGTGTCCCAAAGGGCGGATGACAACGAGGAGACGATCAACAAGAGAATCGAAATATTTAACACCAAGAACAACGAGATCGTCGAGCATTACAAGGACAAAGTTGTCAGAGTGAGTTCAGATACGCAGTACTGCTTTCTCACTTCTTCCGCGACCGTGTATCTTACCGACTTGTTAATAAAATTAACGAATAATTTCCTTTCAGATCAATGCGGAAGGAACGGTGGAAAACATATTCGACGAGGTAACAAAAGCGCTGGACGCTTTATTAGCTTAGACACGTTGCACCGTAAGCTTTTAAGGAGCCGCAAGAGATCGGTTGCTCTTTAAAAGCAAGTCGTTACCAAAGTTCATTACATTCTAGATGACGTTAGAGATTTACTCAAGTGAGATATACGCGTACAAATTAGGTACCTTTGATTGTTAATTGTTGAATAAAACTGAGATAGAACTGCTTCAAGTCCGATTCGCAGCGACTCTTGCGTTATTTATTCCAACAGTTTGTCTCTTAAAAAGTTGTTAGCTGACGATTTAATTGTAATATCGCGAGATAAATTAAGTTGAAGTAGAGGTCTAACTTTTAGCAACTTTGGCGAATTGCACAACCATAGGTTTATCCTTCAATATGTATCCGTTCGTTTCTTCGAGGGCCATCTTTGCTTGCACGTCATTCTGTAAAGTGATAAAGGCTTGTCCCTTCATTCTGCCTTCTTGCATGAGGCGCACGTCGTACCTGGAATACAGATAATAAAGATACATTGTAGGACAGCGTATCGCAGTTATAACACCAGCCAAGTACTCACTCATTTTCGATATCTTTCAATCCGGCGATGGCGTATCTTTGATAAATATAATGCAGATCCTTCGCCTCCACTTGCTTCGCGAGATTCTTTATGTAGAGGCGATTGGAAGGCTTGCCCGGGTGATAATTTTTGAACACGGGAAGCACTCTCTGATCGTTGGCGGAGATCTTGTTGGCCGCCAATTCCTCGGAAGTTATAAACTTACTCTTCTGCGTTTCCTCGGTAGGTTTATTAAGCGGGAATATTAAACCGAATCCGCTGCTGTCCACGGCCACGGCGCTGTCTCGACTGGCAGACGTGGCCTCGAGCGACGTGTCCAGAGTTCTCAGTTCAATCTTGAGATTTTTCGCCTCTCCGCGTTGAACGGACTCGAACAGGTCTTCCGGCTTGAATACTTTTTGCGACGACGAAGGAGTCGCGATACTTTTCGCGGGATTGACAAACTTCGGGATCTTCAAACGTCTCGTGGACTGCGGCCGTTTCCTCTTAACAGGGATGACTTCTAGAGGTCGGGCGTTACCCTCCCCGTCTGACTCTAATTCAGACTCCTCTTCCTCAGTCTCCTCTTCGTTCGCGCGCTCGTGGAATATATCTAAATAGGGAAGGACGCTGCGTTGATTCAATCGTCGCCGATCGTTTGTTAATTTTGTCATCGAATACCTTTGTACTTCTCCATGTCGTACACTTCCCTGAGCATAGGAAACTCCACCTCCAATTCCTCAAAGGGCGGCGGCAGATTCATCTTGTTCATCAAGTGCAACACCTACACACGCGGCAGCTGTAACGCTGCCAATTAAAATTCTGTAACAATAGAATCTCGCGAGAAGAAGCCCCGCGGTTTTACCTGCGTGTAAAAGGCCGGCTGGGTCAGCAACTGCACGGCTATCCTGGTCAATGTGCTCCTCGTCGGCGTCAGATACTTGTACCTCAGGTTTGGCGGAGGCGGCTGACTGAACTCGTGGCTCATCGTCCAACTGTTCAACCTTCGCAGGAACGCCTGGACGTGAGACTGGCTGACGGTTTCCGTCTTCGCGTCCCCGCACGCCGGCGCTTTGGGTTCGACGCCCAGCTCGGAAAGCTCGGCGGGCACAGATCTCTTGGCATATTCGACCGTCAGGTATTGACCCCGGACGTTGAGCTGATGCAGACGCAGCAGGGCCTCGGACGCGAACTGCTGGGATGGGAATTTGGCGAAGGTGACGGTGTACCTGCCAGACGGTCGCAACGTTCTGGTCTTGATCGCCCCGTACTTTTGCATCAGCTCGTCGCGCCGTTCGTCAGAGAGTTGCGGGGGCAGATGAAGGATCCTCAGGGTGTCGCAGGCCTAGAAAATACATCGGGATACTCGCTATCAAATGTACCTAGTAATAGGTTAGAAACATCAATTTTCATCTATAGGAGCGCAAGCTTGTCCCCCGATCGATTTAATAACGTCGTAGAAAATATTATATATACTGGAATCATTCTCGACGATTGCTTTCCGTTGCACTTTCGATATAAACCGGAGTAGTCTTCGCTCGGGATGTCTTCTTCTTCCTCCGGTCAGTTGACTGCTCGGGATGTAATCAAACAAACTCCGACGAGACGTAAACAAGTGGAACTGCGACGCGAGCGCTGTCGCGTTAGAAACTGGCTACTTCCGGTTGTGTCGCATCTAGATTATTCATACACCCCGACTGTAGATTCCGAATCGCTCATTTTTATACACGCGTACACAGGGTGTTATGTAATACTCGCCTCGCCACTCATTTGTGGACAGAGCGGACTAGACCGAGTCGAAAAGTCCTCTGTCATTTTGCACTTTTCGCAATAGTTAACGGGTTATTAATTATTAAAACCGCTGTCTTAGCCCGGCCTACCGTCCAATTCAAACGCACGGCGGGACGCGGCGGCCCCGCGATCGGCGTTGCTAGGCGCGCGAAGAGTTGTTTATTATACGCGGTCGTTGCCTGTTGCCTCGTGTCATAAACAACTCTCCGCGCGCCTAGCAACGCCAATCGCGGGACCGCCGCGTCCCGCCGGGCTAAGACAGCGATTTTTAACAATCAATAACTCGTTAACTATTGCGAAAATTGCAAAATGGTAGAGGGCTTTTCGACTCGGTCTAGTCCGCTCCATCCGTAAACAAGAGATAAGGCGGGTGTTACAAAACGCCCTGTATTTATGTTTCTTTAAAAGTCTCGACGTTTCGAAACAATTAGGGGTTGAGAGGATCGAACTTGCGCAGAACAAGTGAAAAGTGCATAGAGGATTATCGTAATACGCGCCGTCCCTTATATGCCCAATAGATTTTTTTTAAGTAGAAACGATTATCTCCACGGATTACTTAGGTTGCGGTCAAGCTGCCGCTACAAATGCTCCCAAGTATTTCTCTTCTCTTTCTATCTTTGCCGAAAGAAAGGAGAAAAAGAGTTGGAAGTATTTGAAGCGACAACTTGACCGCAGCCTTAGATTGGCTATTCGCGTGGCTTTTAACCAATCGACTTTCAACCTTTCTGTCGGTGTAGAATTTTCGTATACGTTTCTTCTTCTTCTTCGAATGAATTCAAGAATCGGGGGGGTGGGGGGACAGGATGGCACGAATAACGGCCAAGGCATACGAAACGTCTAGACGCGTCCCAGCCGGAAGTAGCCATTGCCAACCGTGAGTCGTGAGAGCGTCCTCGACGCCGAGTCTCGGAACGTCTACCGTGCACTCTGTCCCCTTGGCAATCGCACTCCGGGTATTTAAATGATAACGAGAGCGTCGCGCGTGCAAATTTGAAAAGAGAGAATCCCCGAGGAGCAGGAGAAGTGGACGAACAGCGACAATCGGATCGCGTTCTCGCACGAGCGGCAGTGGATTGCGTCAAAGCGCGGAGACATGCAGCGGGAATGTTACACGTCTTGCATCAAGATAAACGGGATACCTCTTCTCCCGCCGCTAGTAAGTGCCCCAGTGCTGATCTTATCGTCCCCGCTGTAGAGGCTCGTTTCGTGCTGAACGTCGCGCTGTTTTACAGATGACCGACACCACCAGGGAGGAGATGAGACGTTACAAGTCTCTGGCGATCCGAGTGGAGGACAGCTTGCGGGAGAGTCGACTCGCCGAACGCGTCTTTCAGGATGAGTGCACGCAGGCTGACGCGGCGAAGCCGGTGAACCAGCTGAAGACCGTCAGATACAGTTCGGACAGCGACGCGTCCAGCCGCGACGTCGCCACCAGCGACACCAACAACAGCGACTCGCGTTCCAGGTTGACCGTCATCGAGCCGGTGCTCCAGGACGCCGGCGAGCGCGGAGACGACACGCAGGCCTCCGTGTCGGACGTACAGCGCTCGCACTTTGAAGCTTGCTCGTCGAACGACGCTGTTAACGACACGAAATCCGTAGCCGCCGCTGATGAAAGCGAATGTATCAGAGACGCGCCGGAGGCGGCGACGCCAAACGAGGACGCGACCTCGGTGGACAGCTGGAAGCCCGAGGTGCCCAGAACGCTGGACATCGTCCCGATAACGTTGAGCAACGACGAGGAGGACACTTCCTCCTCCGTGGGGGCTTCCAAGGAAGCTGAGAGCCCGCTTAAACTGTCGCGGCAGGGCTCTTATGTATTGGACTCGCCCAGCCCTATGCTGCTCGCTCACATGCACACGGAATTGACCGGTGAGGGCTACGTTCCCACGTGCGCCGCTAATGCGCCGCAGCGAAAGCAATGGAACATCGCGCAGCCTAAGACGGAGTGGGAAAACAAACAGTTCTCGGCGGAACGCGTCGAGGCGCTGAGCAAGCTGGAATGCGCGGCGAGGAAGTCAGCGTCTCCGCGCAGAGAGTCCGACAGCTCGACGGAGTCGCGTCACGTAAACAAATCCGTCGGTTGTACCGTGGCGGTCGAGGACACGCGTAGATCGGACGCCACGCCGACTAAACATAATCGTAGATCTAGTACAGATGTTGAGACGCAAAGTTCCTTAGAAAAGTCTGAGAGCGATGTCAACGCCGGCGCGTTAGATTTGTCGAGCGGAGAGCACACGGGAGCCGCGAATGGCCCCGAGGTGTCTCGCGTGGACGAGAAACGGTCCGACGGGCGGTCCGAAGGTGTCGCGGAGCGTCGCGATTCAAGCGTCAAGTCTTCCACGCCGGATGAGCTCCTGATGGTGTACAAGGAGATCGAGGAGCTGCACAAGAGGCAGATGATGGAGCTGATATACCGCCAGCGGAAGGAGCAGTCGCTGCTGCAGGCGGAATTCCAGAAGCAGCAGACGCTCCTGCTGGCCGAGATACGCAAGTGCGCCACCGGGACGCCGCGCCGGGCGCACGTCGCGTCGACCGCCGCGCTGAGCCGATCGTTGTCGAGCGACGAGGGTGGACCGGCGAGTCGCGAGGCGAGGCGACGGTCGAGCGCGGGTTCCGCTGGGCGCGCGGAGGCGCCCAGCAGCATCAGACTGTCGAATCGAATGATCATATGTCCGCTGGATTATCTATCCTCGAGAAACTTGTACCTGCTCAAGCAGCAGTCCTTCACCGCGGACAATTCCCCGGCGGCTCACGAGTTTGACTTTGCGAGAAAAGTGAGTTTGTGCGACAACGCGTACAGCAACAACAACGACAACAACAACAATGACAATAGTAACGGTAACGATGACGATAACAGTTGCGAGTCGCGCGATCTCGTTTACAGGAATTCCAACATTTCCAACGTGAGCCGGCAGTTATTTCCCTTAGACAGTAATACCACGCGTGTACCGGTGCTAGACACCTTGTATCTCGATAAACACGTGAGTAATTTTAACGTGCCCGACGCGACGTCCACGACGAGACCTTCGAGGCCTGGTTTCGCCGAACGTCGCCTAACTTTGATCTTGGTTTAATTCATGTTTGTCTCTTTCTTAGGTAAAGCCTAATCTACAATGTGCTCTCTGCATCTAGAAACATTCTGTTTTATATGAACAAATCAAAACGCTTAAAAAACTTATCGCACAATATACGGCTGTACAATGTATAATATACAACTTATGTACTTGCACAAATTTTTGAACGTATTTATCTACTACAAAATAGAATGTTTCCAGATGTAAAGAACACAATGTAGATGAGGCATAACGGTTGGAAAGAGACAAAGAACAAATTAGGCTCAAAGTTAGACAACGTTGGTGAAACCGGAGCATTCGCAGTTGATTATTCTCCTCACATTCGAATAGGCGTCACTTTCTTAAACAAATGGAGTTAAATCAGGACCATTAAAAATCACAAGAAACGAGAAGGTCCAAGGCAAGATGCAGACAGCCGAGTAGCTTTTAATATGTGAATTCTTGTACCATTTTTCCACCTGTACTGCGCGCCGGTTCCTCTTCGAACGTATACCACAGTTATCGTATCGATGGAATTATTGTCGTCGGCTAAGAATTCACACGTTAAAAATTATTTGGCTATCTTGCCTTGGACCTAAATAGGCTTCTCGTTTCTTATCACTTGAATCTTATGCTTTGAAGATCTCATTGTAGACGTCGCGTAGTGTATTTCGATGTTCCGCACTTAAGGACGACGTTAAAATTGTGTCGCTGCGCAGGTACGGGCGGTGAACACCATCAACGCTTACGCGCGCGGCTACCTGGTGCGCAGACTAATGCGGACCGAGCGCGTTATCACGTTGAAGAAGATATACAGGGAGGCGTTGCAGTGTATGCTCAAGCTGCACGTGGACGCGCCCTTAAAATCGGCGGAGGTGGACTTTCTTCATCGTCTCCAGTTGCAGGTGACTGCTCGGTTCCACCGCTCGTCAAGTTGTTTCCGCCGCGCGTATTCTCGGGGCCTGACAATTTAACTTGACGTTTTTCTTCAAGTGCGACGCGGCGTCCATGAACATAGTGGAATTGTTCGCCCAGTCGCCGACGAAGAGGATGAAGGTGATCGCGCAGGATCGCGAGATCCAGGAGTCTCGAGCGGAGCGCCCGACCTCGGCTCGATCGTACTCGTTCGCCACCCAGAAGACTCTAGCCAGAAAGAACCTGAAGGAATTCGAGTCCACGTAAGCGCAGCCCCCCTTCTCCCGCCGTTTGCACGCCGTCCGCTTCGTATCGCGCGGCTAATCGGTGCCCTCGTTATTGTCTAGATTGGCCAGGTACCAGCGACCGTTGGTCGTCAAGAGGAATCCCGTCAGAGCCAGGTGCCAGACGTGGACCTCGGATATGAGGGACAAGCTCATGTTGCCGAACACATTGCGTGAGCTTTCTGCATACACAGAGGGAAGTCCTCTATTATGAGATAGGCTTCTAACACGGGGCAGCAAGTTTTCGACGTACAAATTCGATCGCAAATCTCTTTTCGCGACGATTACACGATTTAGCAGTGAATTTTCCACTAAATAGATTTCACTCCAAGGGCAAAGTCATATGGCGGAGCCAACAGATGACGCCTATCAATTTAGCAGAAACCCCGCTATCTCGTATTACGAGCTCGTCTCATATTGGGGGACGTTGATACCTCGGCCGCGCAGATAATTACCCCGTAATGGACATACTCGAAGACATAATTTTGCATTGCAGATCAAGGTATCAGGAGAAGCACGAGCACGGGCGCCGTGCGGAAGCCGTGGCGCTGACGTGACAGAGTGCCTTACGACGATTGATTGGGCGACCTGCCAGTTTCACCGTTGGAGAGCGGAATCTCGCGCGAGCGCCTCGCGTCAGCTGCCCCCGCTCTCGAGAGAAACGCACCGGTGTCTGGCTCTTCCGATAGATTTATTTTCTACTACCGTAGCATTTCTCTCGACTGACACACGACACTCATCTGTGATACGTTTATATCAAATATATATATATATATACTTATAGCGCTTTCGATTTTGTCCCGATCTAAGTCGAAAGATTCCCAGCGAGAAATGACTCGTCGATCGATGTCGAATCGACAAGTCATTTCTTGCAGGGTGAGTTTATTACGCCAGGGGCTCGATCGTGAATCTTCTCTAGCGTGAACGCGTGAAAAGTGAAAGATTTCACTGACGAATATTGAATTATTCAATGAAATTTGTCACTTTTAACGCGATCACACTACTAGAGGAAAAGATTCCCCAGCGAGAAACGACTCGTCGATTGATGTCGAATCGACGAATCATTTATCGCCCGCCCCGTGAGAAATT